TCAGTTTTTGACCATTTAGTATGATGTTGGCTGTTGGTTTTTCATAGATAACCTTAATCAGGTTGAGATAAAGACCTTCTATTCCAATTTTCTGTAGGGTTTTTTTTTAATCATGAATGGGTGTTGGATTTTGTCAAATGCTTTTTCTGCATCTATTGAGACAATCATATGGTTTTTGTCCCTGGCTCTATTAATATAGTGTATTACATTTATTGATTTATGTATGTTGAACCATCCTTGCATCCCTGGGATAAATCTGAGTTGGTCAGGGTGTATGATCTTCTTGATGACCTCTGTATTGTTTGTTGAGGATTTTTGCATGTATGTTCATATAGGAGATTGGCCTATAGTTCTCTTTTTGGGTTGGGTCTTTCCCTGGTTTTGGAATCAAAGTAACACTTGGTTCCAGGAATGAATTTGGAAGTATTGTTTCCCTTTCAATTTCCTCGATGAGTTTAAAGAGTAATGGTGATAGTTTTTCTTTAAATGTCTTGTAGAATTTAGCAGTGAAGCCATCAGGACCTGGGCTTTTCTTTGTTGGTAAATTTTTAATTACATTTTTAATTTCACTCACTGTAACTGGGGTGTTTAGAATTTCTATATCTTCATTTAACTTTGGCAATTCAAATGTATCTACGAATCTGTCCATTCCTTCTGTGTTTTGCATTTTATTAGAGTACAGGTTCTCGAAGCAGGTAATGATCCTCTGGATTTCTGCCAAGTCTATTGTGACTTCACCTTTTTCGTTTTTAATTGCATGGACCTGAGCCTTTTCTTTCCTTTTTTTGATAAGGGTGGCTAAAGTTTTATTGATTTTATTTATTCTTTCAAAAAACCAACTCTGATTTGATTTTTTGTATCATTCTCTTAATCTCTATTGCATTGATTTCTGCTCTGATTTTTGTAATTTCCTCTCTTGTATGAGCTTTGGGTTTTTCTCTTCTTTTTCTAGGAGCTTGAGGTTCTGCATTAGGTTGAGTTCTCTCTGTTTTCCTAATATGGGCATTCACTGCTATGAATTTCCCTCCTAGAACTGCTTTCTTTGTGTCCCCTAGATTCCTGTATGTTGTACTGGCATTATCATTTACTTGTAGAAA